TCTTCAGGATTTGCTGTAGAAGAGCACAGGATTGTATGAATTAGATATGCATCAGGTCGATGTTTGGGGCTGTGGTGGGGCTAGCTCTTGTGTTGATAAAAGAGTGTTTTAAAAATAATATCATAGGAATGGCTAAACTTCCTAACACTAAGGATCACCTACTGCCATCTTCCAGGTGAGGTCTGGCAGGTACTGACCGTGCCCCTCAGAGGGACGGGAGATCTGCAGGGGCAAGTCCACAGGTGGGAGGTGACAGTGACTCCCAGGATCTCACTGCCGTGCTGCAGGACGGCCCTCAGCCAGGCGTGCAGAAAGGTGTCATGATTCTCCTGACTTGCATCCTCCCACAGATAAAGTAAAATGTCCCAAAATCTTTAATGCCTTCAAAATACACAGCTATATTTTTGTTCATCTTAAGCCACGTTTTGTCCAGTCTTAACTATGGTGGAGAGGGTAAGAAGAAATGGTCAGTGTTCACCTGGGAAGGGTGAAGCAGCAGAAGGTATGGGGACAGGATCACACACCAGAACTGGCCTGTTTTGGCCTCCTGCCAGGCACTTCGCGTCGGACTAACCTGGGATTAGTGTCTTTATTCTGCTCTGCACACACCAGTACCTGGAACAAAGGAAAAAGAATAACGAGGGAACATCCCATAAAAAAGCGGCAAGGCAGAAGGGAGATTCCTGAGGGAGGATTCCCAGGCCACCGCTTGTTTTGCGTTGTGCTGGTTGCTTTGCTGAGGATCCCAGTGGTTCATCGGACAGGATGAAATACTGTTCAGAAATACCCCCCTCCAGAACCTACGCCCGAGCGCTGGCACAAAGGGTCTGGGGATAGAGGTTCTGTTTGCACTGAGATAGCACCCAAATATCTAAGGTCTAACCTGGTGCTTGTAGCCAGCTGTTATCAGAGGAAAGATTAACATAAGTGGACAAACACAACTTCCAGCAGAAAAGCCTAGAAAAGAGCTTTGCTGGGGACATGCTTAGCTTGCAGGATCCTTGCACAGCACAGCTCCCGTTCTGAAAACTTCCAGAGTTCCTCCCTGTTCTTCCTGGCTACAGACGTTCTCTGGAGCAGCAAAACCCCAAGGAGCCTCTGCAGCAGCAAAGAAATGCTCAGAGGGGACGGACAGCCAGGGAGGAAGTGTGTGGGAGATTTATTAACTCATTTATAAACACAGACAGAGACCACGGTGGGGTGAGGCTTGCAGTGCACTTGGTACATCTCAGTCACACAGTTCAGCAGAGCTTCGTCTGCCCCGTGTGCTTCCCAGCCTGTGTACCTGGAGGGCACCGAGCAGACACTCAGGATCTGGGAACCTCTCTCTAAGGTACTGTCTTTTAGGAACATATGTTCGAAAACCTTTGTGGCTGCCTCTGGGGGTAGGGAACTTAATTGTGGTTTAGCATCTGCGTGCAAGAACAAAGAGATAGATGAATGACTTAAAGCTGCCAATTCCAATTCTGTGATGCCCTGAGCTCCTCACTTTGAACCACGGTATCTGTTCCAGTGCTTAACAATGGATTTATTTTTTATCAGGCACAAGAATATCAGAGGCATCGGAGAGGAGAGGAGAGGAGAGGAGAGGAGAGGAGAGGAGAGGAGAGGAGAGGGGGGGGGGGGAGGGGGGGAGAGGAGGGGAGGGGGGAGAAGGAGAAGGAGAAGGAGAAGGAGAAGGAGAAGGAGAAGGAGAAGGAGAAGGAGAAGGAGAAGGAGAAGGAGAAGGAGAAGGAGAAGGAGAAGGAGAAGGAGAAGGATAAGGAGAAGGAGAAGGAGAAGGAGAAGGAGAAGGAGAAGGAGAAGGAGAAGGAGAAGGAGAAGGAGAAGGAGAAGGAGAAGGAGAAGGAGAAGGAGAAGGAGAAGGAGAAGGAGAAGGAGAAGGAGAAGGAGAAGGAGAAGGAGAAGGAGAAGGAGAAGGAGAAGGAGAAGGAGAAGGAGAAGGAGAAGGAGAAGGAGAAGGAGAAGGAGAAGGAGAAGGAGAAGGAGAAGGAGAAGGAGAAGGAGAAGGAGGAGAAGGAGAAGGAGAAGAAGGAGAAGGAGAAGGAGAAGAAGGAGAAGGAGAAGGAGGAGAAGGAGAAGGAGAAGGAGAAGGAGAAGGAGAAGGAGAAGGAGAAGAAATACAATTCCTGCCACCTCCCTTTGGTTCCCACAGCCATCTCCTCCGGTGCTGAGCCCTCTCTGAGCCCTGTTCCGTGCATCTCCTCTGCCTTTGGAAACTCTCCCCTTACCCTCGCTCAGGCAGAGCCGTGCTGCAGACCATGCTGCACTCTGTGGCTTTGTCCACACTAGAACTACAAGAGGGATAAGGACAGTTCTCTGTTCTGAAGACACCTGGTGCTTCTTGGCCACATCCATGTCTCACCTTTCCTCCTTTCCCAACCAGAATGGCTTTACTCCCCAGCCCAGCAGACTTTATTCCCCAGCTGCTCCTACCTCCTTGTTCAAGTCAGGCACTGCCTGAGGCAGCAGCCAGGCATGTCACTGGAGGTAAAGAATGGGTTAACGGTGTGGATGATAACGGGATCCACCACAGGTGAAGATGACGTGAGGCTCCAGCCATGTTCCGCTACCTTTAGTACAGGCACAGCTTGTATGACTCCAAATACAGAAAATGCCTGCCCAGGGTGACGGACGTAGCCAGGATTTGGGCATCATTATAAAAAAGCAGCAGAGCTACAAGCAGGTACAGCTCTTTTGCTCACACGCGATAACAAACAACTAAGAAGAAAAAACAACAAAAATCCCAAAAAAAACAAACAACAAAAGCCCACATTTGATCAAACCATCCATTAAGATGAATTTTAATTTTGGTTCAAAAATGCTTTGAATTAGAGTGGTGCTTTGTGGTTTTAATTTGTCTTTTATCTTTTCCCTCTGAAGTAGAATTTTGGCTTGATGTATACTTATTTTTTTTTCTGGTGAGATGATATGGATAAATGTCTACCTATTACAGAATGCTCAGAGGGCTTTTGAAGGATATATATCTCCCTCTTGCTGCCACATCACAGGAGGGAGCAGTGCAGAGATGGATTCGGGTGCCTGCCCCATCCTGGGAAGTTGGTCTCAGACCAATTTTGGCTCCATGGGACAAGTCTGGTCAATGTCTATGAACATTTACTGAGATCATCTGCCATAGAGGTCCTCTGGCATGGATGGATTTACTGTCTGAATGTGCTTACCTCTTGTTAAATTCAGTTATTGAAGCCTGCTGGTGGGATGAACACTGCAGGAAAATAAATCTGCATTTACCTATGGTTTCAAAGAAACAGATCCAGTTTTCATCTCTACAGAAAGCAAGGTCCTTAAAGTGCTTGGTTTTCATCCCACCAGCAAGCCAAAATCATTAGTCACTTTGAAAACGTCGGTGTGTTTATCGATGGCAAAGAGCTAAAGATGAACCGAAACATCCAAGGATTATTCAGTTTGTACGTGTGTCTCTCTTAGTCACATTGTCTCAGAAGTGACCAGGATGATAGATATAGCGCAGTGAGCCTCGTGCTGCAATTGTGCTCCACTGGCTGGCAGGTAAGTTTGCTCAGATTGTTGCTGGCAGTTCCTGAAGCTCTTTGTTCATTCAGGTTGCATCTTAATGTGAGTGCTTCGCTGGAGATTTCATAACTAGAATAGCTTTTAGGCACCTTGGCAGTAGCACTCCACCTACACTGTTTGTAAATTGTGTATAAAAAGATAAAGTATGAGTCTTGTTTTTTTACCAATTCAAGATCGAAAAAACCCACATCAGGGGAATAAATCAGGTTTGCTATTTTAAGATAATGGCTTCATCACAGATGTGCAGTGAAAATGTGACGTTTTCACAACCGAATGTTACTTTTTAAATAGCTGTATTAATAGCCTGCAGAGCTTGCCAGAAGACAATTTTACATGTTTTACTTGGATTGAGCATGAAAGGAATAAGCATAAAGCTCAGTAATGCTGCAGACAGCAGTTATGTGCTTGACCTCATGCTGTCCATACCGGCAGGGGAGACAGAGTAGGGACAGCTATGGACCTGCTGCCTGATCCGTGGGGTGGGTGAACAAAGTCCCATGCCACTCAGGGGGTCGAGTTATCCCCCCTTTCTCTTCAGTTTGAGCTCAGCGCTGTGAGTCAGAGAGGGTCTGCACCCCTGTCCCAGGCTGGGGACTGAAACTGCTGCTGCATCAACTTTTGATGTTCCATCCCAACACTTTGTAAATCCCAATGTTTTTAAAACTCTGATGCCTGAGAATAGAAGGGTAGCTAAAGCAAAGGCTTCTGTGTATCTTCCTAGATTCGTAGAATCATTGAGGTTGGAAAAGCTCTCTAAGATCATCTAGTCCAGTCGTCTGCCCAACACCACCATGACCACTGAACTCTATTCTCCTTGGATCACAACAGTCCTAGAAAGTTTACAGACACAGAATAAGTGAATAATCAGAATTCTTTTCTCTACAGATATTCTGATGTTTCCCTGTGTGTTTTCAGGCAGGAGGGATGAAAACCCGGTCTGTGTGTGCAAACAAGTATATATGCGTGCCTCACTGAGAGTCTGCAGTACTTGGGAGTGATGGACTGTGGGAGGCAGCAGGGCCAGTTTCACAGAGGCTATTTCTGACAAGGCAGCACAGCACATCCGGAAAAACTCAAGCAGAACTGAAGTTTGACAGAAAGTACTAAAAATCTGTTTGTTTGTTTGTTTGATTTTAATTTTGTCCTTTAAAAGAAAACAAGATCAGCTGCTGGGTTTACAATTTAAAATGTTGCTTTTCCAGAGTTCTGCATTTAAAAGAACTCAGGCAATTCCTCTTCAAATTCAAGTGTCACCATTTTACGTTATTGTGCATAGCAATAGTGTGCTAAAGAAATAAGAAAGGAGCTCTCTGTCTCAGCCCAGCAGATTCCCTCACATTTCACAGGCACAACCCCATGGGATTCACAGTCATGGGAAAGGACTTACGAAGCCGCTGTTTAAGAGGATGTGCTGTGGCAGAGCATGACTGCTCTTCACCCCACATGCCATGCCCTTCCCCAACAGCTCTGACCTCGGCGCACCAGCGTTCACCTTGGCCAGCATCCCGGGGCTGGAGGCTGCCCAGTTCTGGATGGCGATCCTCCTGTGCTCCATGTACATCTTGGCGGTCGCCGGCAACTGCGCGGTGCTGTTCATCGTGAAGACGGAGCCCAGCCTGCACGCGCCCATGTACTTCTTTCTCTGCATGCTGGCTGCCATCGACTTGGCCCTCTCCACCTCCACGGTGCCGCGCACCCTCTCCTCCTACTGGTTCAACATCACGGAGATCAGCTTGAGCGCGTGCCTTGTCCAGATGTTCCTCATCCACACCCTCTCAGCCGTTGAGTCGACTGTCCTCCTGGCCATGGCCGTGGACCGGTACGTGGCCATCTGCCACCCGCTGAGACATGCTGCCATCCTCACCAACGCTGCAACAGCGAAGATAGGGCTGATAGCCATGGCCAGGGGAGTTCTCTTCTTCCTGCCTTTGCCTTTGCTCCTCCTGCCCCTTCCCTTCTGCAGATCCCGGTTGCTGTCCCACTCTTTCTGCCTGCACCAGGATGTGATGAACCTGGCCTGCGCCAACACCACCCCCAGCGTGGTGTACGGCCTCACCGCCATCCTGCTGGTCATGGGGCTGGATGCCATCCTCATCTGTCTCTCCTACGTCCTCATCCTCAAGGCTGTCTTACGACTGGCTTTGTGGAAGGAGAGGCTCAAGGTGTTCAGCACCTGCATTGCCCACATCTGCGTGGTCCTGGCCTTCTACGTGCCCCTCATTGGGCTGTCTGTGGTGCACAGGTTTGGAAAGGACCTGGCTCCACTGGTCCATGTCACCATGGGGAACATCTACATCCTGGTGCCTGCTGTGCTCAACCCCATCATCTATGGCGTGAGGACCAAAGAGATACAGAGGAGGATCCTGAATCTAATTCATGTATTCAATGACAGAACTGCCCAGTGACCTGTGCTCAGCCGCTGACTCCTGTATCCTCCCACCAGCTCTCTTGTTTTACACTTAGAGTCTTTGGTGCAGGACTGTCCTCTGTTGGTGTGGCACCTAGCACATGGTAGAGGACTCTCATGTGCTACCACAAGGTAGAAAGTAAAAAACAACAGTCCAGAAGTGCTTAGCTTCACCAAACTCAGAGAGGATCTCCTACAACAATCTAAATCCAACCCTGATCCATCAGGTAGCACAGTGGGAAGGAAAAGTGACTCAGCAAGCTGGTAAAGATGTCTTTACATTGGACTTCTTTGTTCTCATCTCATCAGAAACAATGACAGAGCTGAGTAAATGCTACAGGGTTTTTTGAATTATTTAGTTAATTCATGGTTTCCACTTGTTCACTTTCCAAAAACATTTTAGCAAATTTTTTTCCAGAAACTTTGGCTGTAGCATCAATCTCTAAGTAAAATAATTACAACAAGTGACTTCATAGGTGGAGAAATGCACTTCAGAAGCCCTTGACATCTCTGGCCTTGTTCTGTCTGTGTTCAGCCAAGGCAGCTCAGACTCCTTGTAGCAGATTCTCTGGAAAAATTTCAGATTGAAATTTATTGGTAGCAATTGTAAAAATAATTTCAACTAATAATCACATTCAATAAAATGACAATATCTCAAGAGAAAAAATTAACAACTATAAATGTCAGTGATATTTTCATGCTGAAGGAAGTCCAATGTGTTTCCAAGTCAAATGTATTTCTTACTTTTGCCTTGACACATGCTTGGAATTCCTTAGACATTGTGAGTTAACTTCAAGACCTTCAGCTTTCAAGCCTTTTTTATACTTGCTAAGTGTTCCCCATGAAACAGCAAACCTGACAGCCCTTCATTCTCATGACTCTCCTGCCAGCGGGACACTACTACAAAACTTTTAATACAGAGAAAGTCAACAAGCCCTAGGGCCAGCGAAGAAGGTCTGAAAGCAAACTGCTTTTGTTTTCACCCGTTACCAAATCACAGAATGGTTGAGGTTGGAGGCACCTCTGAAGGTCACCCTGTCCAACCCCCCAGCCCAGGCAGGGCCAGCTAGAGCTGGTGGCCCAGGACTGTGTCCAGACAGCTTTTGAACATCCCTAAGGATGGAGATTCCACTTTGTTTTGGAAAAAAAATGAAGATCCTAGGAAAGGATGATGTACAATAAGATTTCACAAAGAAACTCACAGATCTGAAGAAGGTTTACCTCTAGTTCTTTTCCTAATGTCCTTAATCTTTTAAAAAATAAATCTGTTTCTTTATAAGTAGAAAACAAACAATCAATCAATCAAACAATCGAGCAATCTCTTCTTTTCCTCTCGGTTTAAACTCTCGTCTTGTTGCTGGTTATTGTGAATTGTGGTCTCCATCCTTGAGGTGGCTGCATCACCATGCTCAGGGACATGTTTGCTGTTCCTGCTCCCAGTGCCAGGTGCCGGGGGCACATGGTCTCCCATTTGAAGCCGCTGGCTCTGCCTATACGGGGAGCAGTGCACAAAGCCCCGTGCAGCAGGACCCTTCACAGGTGGCTGGAGCAGCACCAGGTACTGTTAAGAAGTCTGACCTACACTCCATCAGCAGACCCACATGCTCTTGAACACTGATATCTCCATCAGCAGATGACTACCACAGAGTAAGTCATGTTGGAAATGACTTTAGGACATCTCTAATCCAATCTCCTGCTCAAAGCAGGGGCAGCTCCAGAGTCAGAGAAGGTTGCTCAGGGCTATATCCAATTCAGTGTTGAAAACATACTAGGACGGACGTTTCACAATGTCTTTGGGTCCCTGTTACAGTACTTGATTGCTCTTATTGTGAAAAAGCTTCTCTTCATATCCACTTTGAACCTCTCGTTTCAACTCACTCTTGTGTTCACCCATTCTGCCATGCCACATAGTGAGGAGCTTGGTTCCATCTTCTTGATAAGGGTGGAGGAAGGCTGCTATTCTGACATTAGGTCTTCTCCAAACCTTTTCTTTTCCAGGATGAACAAGCCCATTTTCCTAAGCTTCTCCTCATGGGACATTGCTCCAATCCCAGCCATCCTGCAAGCCATCAGCCAAAGTCACTCCACATTGCTGATGCCTTTTTTGCACTAGGGACCAAAATCAGCTGCAGGACCTACGTGTGGTTTGTCAAATGCTCAGTAGACTATGGGATAATCCTTTGGAGGTGTGATGGATCTGTCTCTGGGAAAGCCAACCTGGAGCCCCAAACAACAAATATCAGAAGGAACTGCCAGAGAAAAAGGAAAGAGAAAAATAAAATTTATGGAGCCCCTAAATCTGCATTGATTTACAGCATACAGGTGGCAGGTCTGAAATAGGTAGGGAGTTTTATTTCATGTCAGGCCAGTTTGCGCAGGGTTCTATCCAGCTGGGTCCTAAAAACCTTCAAGGACGGAGGTAGTGCAGCCCCTCTGGGCAATGTTCCTCTTGCCCCATACACGCTGGCATAATATAAGCAAGTTTAACCCTGAATAATTAATAACTTGAGAAATACAGGGAAATACGTGGAAAGCAGGCAATGAACTGTGAGTTCCATCAGGGAAAATGGAAGACAGGTCTAAGTGCTGTACTCAGGGGCTCTTGCATCTTGTCCATAACTTCTAGGTGTGCTAGAAGAGGTATCTTACGAAAGACTCATGCTGTCAAAGGGCAGCAACATTTTGTGGCGTTTCGTGCAGTTTCTCCCAACTGCCAGCTAATATTGAGAGTAAAATGGGTGTCCTTTTTGTAGTCTGTGTTCGTATAGCTTCAGCCTCCATGAAACATATCTTGTTATAACCTTTACTGCTGAATTAAAGCACATTTTATTTCAAAATAAATATTTTCATTTAAGTGAGTTACTAGTTGACATCTGGGACTTAAATGTAATTTTGTCCCCTGTCATTTTTGTCATATTCTGTCTTATTAGAGCTTAGAAGGGTTCAAAAAAAATAATCATGAAAATGAAAACAATCTGTACCTGCCTAATGTGATTTTGGAAGTGGGAATGAATTTTTCAGAGGCACACTATGGATCTAAACTCTTTTCAGATGGCCGTGGCATTGAGAAATAGCTCCTGTTCGCTCTCCATATGTTCCTTATTTTTTTTCTTTCGTGCTGAGAGAAAAATTAATAAAGAAAAATGAATGAACCATCCTGAAAATGCTGGATTATATTTCTTAGCCATCTATTTCTCAGAAAGACAGTTAATAGAGCCTCAGAGCAGGGAGAAATGATGAAATTCCCCTGAGTAAAGATGAAAACTGCTTGTGATTCTTCCTCTCCATCTTGTTTTCCAAACTTTATTCACGGAGCGTGGCTTTGTGCCTCTTGGTATTTCACCGTTCTCTACCTGTGTGATGGGGATGATGTCACTGTCTTCTCTCTCTAAGTCTATATTAGAGCTATGGATAAAACACAGAGAAAGGACAGATTGCTGATGTTTGGAAAGTACTTCTGAATTCGTGCTGCTGCAGTTTTCATTACAAACCCAGTCCTGTGATGGAATCTTGAACTGCCCCTTTGCTCCTAAGTCTCTGCCTGATAAACTCACTGCAAGAACTCAGGTACAAAGCTGGGCAAAATGCAGCTATGTCTGTGAGGCCATCAGCACTGAGGGAGTTAAAAAGTAGTTATTTTTCTCCAATTATACCTTGAATAGCAGGGGAAATGCAGAGCTCCCTGCTGAGATTTACCTGTAGGAGATAAACAACCCCTGGTCTCTGCAGTGCAGAGTCCCTTTATGGAAACCTGCAGAAGGTCGGTGAGTATTTAGCAATTCATTGCTCCACAACAAGCCCTTTTTACACCATCACCCCACCTGGGCAGCAGCAGCAATCGTTGAAGAGTCTCCAGTTAGTGGAACTTGCAGGCTCGCTCCTGTCTGTCAGGTTCTCTTTTCCTGGGAACTACACTCCCTGTCGCAGCGTTCTCCACGGAAGAACGATGTTTTAGGCAAAGCAGCATCAGCAGAAGCAGCTGGCAGGAAGGAGGTGGAATGAAGAAAGGAAAATGCCAACTGTTTCAAATTCTAGAACGTTGAGAGCCACGTGGTGAAAAACCCTCAGGAAACTTCTCCCAGAGTGCAGTGACCCCAAGCCATACTCATCGGTAAGGTTTCCAGCCCCAGCTGGTGGCTGGTGGCCACGCTGGGCTGGGCTGCAGCAGCTGCAGTGGCCCAGACCCCTGGGCAGAAAAGCCTGGCTCTCCTCGGGAAAGCTACCATTGTCTCCTCCATCCCTCTGCTCCCTGTAGCTCTCTAGAACCAGAACAATTGACCGCAGGAAGTTTTCTGAAGGGTCTTATTATGTCAGGAATATTGACCTTATCTAGACTGCAGGGCTCTTCAGGAAATGAGTTTTCCCAGGTATTAGGGGAAAACCATGAACCAACATTTGGGCTGAGGGAGCTGGGATTGTTCAGCTGGAGAAGACTCCAGGGGACCTTATCCCTGCCTGCAGTGCCTGAAGGGAACCTACAGGGAGGCTGGGGAGGGACTTTTGACAAGTGTCCAGCCATAGGACAAGGGGAAACAGATTTAAGTTAAAGGAGAATAGGTTTACGTTGGATCTTTGGAAGAAATTGTTTAGTGCAAGGGGGATCAAGACTCTGGAACAGATTGCCCAGAGAGGCTGTGGCTGGCCCCCCCCCGGGGGTGGTTAAATGGCTGCCCCCTCCCTGGAGATGTCCAAGGCAGGTTGGATGAGGTCTGGAGCAACCTGGACTGGTTAAGGGCATCCCTGCTCATGGCAGGGGACTGGATCAGATGACCTCTGAGATCCCTTCCAGCCTAAGATATTCTAGGATTTGAGGATTCTATGTAGGAGCTGCAGCTTTTTTTTGGGAAGAGAGTTAACATAACTGAGGCACTGCGTTTGGGGAGGGTAGGGGGGTAGTCAAATACCATGGCACTGGCTCAGGTTTTTTGCCCTGAAATTGGATGCTTCTTGACTGAGACAAGCACTCATTGCCTCTGCACCAGCAAGCAGCACCGTGTTGTTACAAGCTTTTGTGGAGCTGTAGGTGCTAATGACTTCGTATCCCCACTATCCACATTTCAAGGTTTACTTCACAACATCTTTCAGCCGGTCTCCTGGGCTGGGCACTGGAGGAGATCAGATGTGCATGTTAGGCAGTCTCCCTGTCCAGTTTGATCCAGGAGGAACCCAGTCTGCGTGCCCCAGGACCAGTCTGCCCAGTGGGACAGAGCACTTGCAGTGGAAACTGGCAGGACACTTGTTTCAGAAGTGCTCTCCTGAAACAGTGCAAGCAGCTTTCACAGGGATGGATGGCTAGGTGGGGATTCTGACCTTCTAGACCCTACCTCATGCCAGTCTCTGTGGGCCACTGAGCAGATCAGGTCAAGGGTGGTTGATGCTTTCTTATAGAACACAAGAGTCCTCAGCGTAGCAAGACACAAGAAGGGTGTCATGTCTCTGAACTCTACCGCCTCCTCCCATCCTTCCTATTTCCTACTCGTTGGTATCCCTGGGCTGGAGAAACATCAGTTCTGGATTGCCTTCCCCTTCTGCCTCATGTATGCCATTGCTGTGCTGGGCAACACCACTCTTCTCCTCATTATAAAGACAGAGCCGAGCCTGCACGAGCCCATGTACCTCTTCCTGGCCATGCTGGCCTTCACTGACCTGGTCCTATCCACATCCACGCTACCCAAAATGCTTGGCATCTTCTGGATGGGTTCTGGGGAGATTGCGTTTCCCTCCTGCCTTGCTCAGATGTTCTTTATCCACACCTTCACATCAGTGGAGTCGGGTGTGCTGGCAGCCATGGCCTTGGACCGCTACATCGCTATTTGCTGCCCGCTGAGGCACTCCAGCATCCTCTCTGTGCCGGTGGTGGTGGGCTTCGGAAGTGTGGTGTTGGTGCGTGGAGTCCTCCTGGTGAGTCCCGTCTGCTTCATCCTGCACAGGATGTCCTTCTGCCAGCACCACGTCATCTCCCACTTCTACTGCGAGCACATGGCTGTGGTGAAGCTGGCGTGTGGGAACACCAGAGCCAGTTACATATACGGCCTCTTCGTGGCTTTTTCAGTGCTGGGATTTGACATAATCCTGATCTCTGTTTCCTACACCGTGATCCTGCGGGTGGTGATGAGGCTGTCATCCAGAGAGGCACAGCTCAAAGCTTTCAGCACCTGTGCATCCCATCTCTGTGTCACCCTTACCTTTTATGTCCCTGCTCTCTTCACATTCCTCACCCACCAGTTCGGGCACAGCATTCCTCCCCCCGTCCATATTATAGTGGCCAATCTCTACCTGCTAGTGCCCCCCATGTTAAACCCCATTGTTTATGGGGTGAGAACTAAGAAGCTCTGGGAGGGAGTGGCCCTCCTCTTCCAGAGAAAGGGAACCTGACCCCTATGTGTGTGGCTCAAACTGTGCTTGTAATTCACTGACGATGCTGGTAAATGTAATGAGACTTAATGCTGTGACTCTTTATTTGCTGAGGGAGGAACCTTTCCTAAGTGCCTGGAGTTCAAGCAATGCATTCTTGCAGAAATCACAGGATTGTCTCTTTCAAGATCACTGTCCAGGAGGTTTCATCTGTTGTGTGACGAAACTTGGCATAAAGACATTTGATCTGGCTTCTACACCACTGGGAGATGGACAGTTCACCCCCCCCCAGAACTTAAACATCTCACCGTTAAAAGTCTTTCGCTGTTAAAATAAACCTCTCATGATTAAAATACTTACACTGCAGGGCTGATGTCTCCAAAAGGTCTTCCCGCAGCAGCTTTCATTATTTGAAGAGTGTTCCCTGGACTGTGTGATGGTATCTAAAAGCCAGGCTGATGTGCTGCTTAGTGACCTGGTTTAGTGGTGGACCTGGCAGAACTGGGTTAACAGTTGGTCTCAGTGATCCTGAAGGTCTTTTCCACCCTAAATGATTCTATGGGAAGGTGCTCAGATGGGAACAGCGACTCTCCTTGCAGAAGGAAAAAGGTAGAATTCAATCTTCAGCATTAACTTTTTTTGTAAGAAAGGCAAAACCTACAATAATCCTAGGCTAGCAATTTCCAAAAGTCCTATGCAGATGTAATCCCTTTCAAAAATACCAGAAATCTTTGCTGATGCAACAGTTTGGAACAATCCATCACAAGGAGATCGTTGCTAACAGAGCTGCGCTGTAATTTTGTATGTAAAATATCCCAATAAACAGGCAAACAAACACTGTTTACAACATCACTGCTCTATATCTGAGAGAGGTAGGCAGCAGAATGAGCTGAAGGTCAGACACCTCAAACTCCAGTTATGAAATTCGGGCACGTTATGGACCTTTGGTCTATTTTTAGTGTGAACCAAGGAGTACTAATGGATGGAAAGGAGATGGACGGATGGAGACCTGGCCCTGCATTTCTTGGAGCCCTTTGTTTACTTGAGCAGTCCTGATTTCTGTGGCCACCCACGAGGAGCCTCCATGCTCTGCTATCTCTCCATGGGGTGGATAAAAGCAGGGAAGCAGGAGCGGCAGCTCCAGCAAGAGAATATCCCCTTCTGCAACAGCTACTGCACTTTGGTGTAGACAAAATGGGAAATGAGTATATTTTTTTTCCACCATTTGAGTGGCATACTTAAATTTCAAGTCTTTTCATCCTTTTTCTTCAGATGAAGCAGAAGTAGCTTTTCACAGGCCACAGATGAGAGGCAGGAGAAGCCAAAGGAGGAGAGAAAAAACTGCAGCTTGCCTAAGAGCCAGTCTCAGAGCACCCACTTCATAAAGCAGGGCTGAAACATTTGCTGTCAGCTGATGCTCACCTGCCACTGCTCTGGTGAGGTAGAACCCTCATTTTTCTGCAGACTCCACAAAAAAAAAAAAAAAAAAAAAAAAAAATCTGTTTTCATTAAGAACGTGGAAGGTGCCCTCGTGACCCAGGTCCATCCACTCCACCACGCTGTCTTCTCCAGTGGCAACGGGAGAGGTCTTCTAGGAGGTGCCTTTTCTGGAGTGAGAGGTGGCAGCTGCTCAGGTGCCTGCCAGGCTGGCTGGCTGACTCACACAGCTCCCTACGACCCGTGAGATGCGTGCACGCCAGCCGTCACCGCCACCGAACGCCAGATACTCAGCACCCACACCTTCGGCTCCTGCTCTAAGATTCCCTTCTCTGCAGACAAAGCAAGCAAACTGGCTGCCACACCTGGGGAGCGCAGGGCAGGGATGGGGCGGGTGCTGGGGGGGGGGGGGGGCAAAAAAGCCAATGCCAAGGCTGCCTGTGAGCTGTCTGGAGAGCGCGGTGGGACAGCCGAGGAGGTCCCTACCCCAACCAGGGACACAAGCACACTTCCATGGGCAGGGATGTGGGGAGGTGGACAGCTCTGGGCAGTGCTCTGAAACCCACTGGCAATAAATGGTCCCATTGCTGAAAAAAGGCCAAACCTGAACCTTTTCATGGGTCAGTCAGTGTCTTCAGGAGTCTCACCTCCTGACAAGGCTGCCTGAGGCCACAGCTGCCAGGAAAGGGAGATGTTACCGCCATCTCTCTCTGCTCTTGGTAGATTTGCATCTGTCCTTTGCACAGGATCTCCCAGGAAAATTTCCCCCTGTTTGATGTCTCCTTGCTGAACCCAGAAATCAACACCACGTTCAAGTCCTACTTGAGCTTCACACCCAGTTTCTAGTCCTGCTTAGCTCCCAGTGCTTCCCCAAACAGCTCCACAGCGGTCTCTAGCTTGACACTGGGATTCACTCTTAGTAGTAGGTTTGCATCACCTCCTTTAAGACAGTGGATCAACAAAAAAAACACAAAAACTAGAGGCATCCAGTGAGACTGGGATTCCTGGGGAAATTTGTGGTGTATAAAAATATATATGTAAAGTATAAATATATAAATAAAAATATAAAAGTATAAAAGTATAAAAATATAAATATATAAATACAGACATACAGACATATCAATATATAGAAATATAGACATATAGAAATATAGAGAGAAATATAGACATATAGAAATACAGAAGTTATATACATAGAAATATGCATCCACTGGCAGCCTGAAGGCAAGATATTAAGGCAGCCCATAACGAGGCACTGCTCAATATTTAAGGCAAAGTGACCTGCTTTTTCCGGGCTGATTTTCACATGTCAGTTGTTAGATATTTTCAGATAACTTTGTCAGTATTACTATTAAAGTGATTACTAGTTTTAACTGGAGGACGTGCATGTAATGAAGCACTGGGTACTCTCAGACACCTCTCTCGCCAGGGAGGGCTGTAGCACCGTTTGTCTGACTGGTGCAAACACCAGGGTGACTCAAAGTGCCTTCTGGCAGCACCTGATTGAGATCAGTGGGGTCCAGACGACCAGCTGAGGTGCTGATACCACAGAATCACAGAATCCCAGAATGCTGGGGCTGGAAGGAACCTCGAAAGCTCCTCCAATTCAACCGCCCTGCCAGAGCAGGGTCCCCTGGATTAGGTCACTCAGGAACGAGTCCAGGTGGGTTTTGAATGTCTGGCACCTGCCCCCGGGTGAGGGGACCTGTAAGGAAGGACAATCCTTGGCAAGGTGGGTATGTAGGACTGAAATCTTCTCTTCTCAGCGTGCAGAAGTGGTTCCCTTACACTACAGGGACCTGACAGAGCTCTTGTCCCTGCGAGAGGGTGATTTGGTTATTGTTTACTTCATTTATACTGGAAAACAGCACTTGTGTTTGTACATACGAGAATATCCAAGTCCAAAATCTCCCACTCTTGGGTGAGCAGTCGTTCAGCACGTTGCTTTTTGGCAGGACGCTGATGAATGCTTGTTGGCTGCAAAATGATGCCGCGCTCTCAGAGTTCTCAGCTGTGAACAGCACTCGAAGGCGCAGAAACCACTTGGTACAAAGGCACTTCCATCAGGTCTGTGCCACCAAGGTTATTTTTAGGGAGGGAGAAGATCACCAGATCTGATATTCATTCATGGAGAGAAAGAGTGGTGTAAAGAAATTAAACAAAACAAAACAAAGATACCTGAAATGAGGATGAAGCTCAGAGCCAGCAGGGAAGAGGTGTTCTGCAGCACCCGCACAGAAGGGATGCAAGAACTTCCTTCATAGCGCACTGGAAGCCACACACAGGTACCAGGTGAGGGAGTCTTCTGGTAATGTCGGGGCACAGGTCTGGGCATCTGCATGGTGCTCCTTCTCTTGCTCTTCTACAGGACAGGGAAAAGCCAGAGCAAGGACCAGCAAACTCCCTCCATGGCTCTCGAGTCCAGAGGTGGGTTTTCTGTATGAGATGCAAGTTTGCTTTTACTCTTCATCCAGGAGGAGACCTCTGGAGTCCTTTTGCCCTCTGGTGCAACGCACTCAACACCTCACCTCTGTCAATCAGATAAACAGCTTGCTCTGTCCTGGCATAGAGAAGCTCATAATTCAACCATCAGCTGTACAGTGTCCCTCCACCTCCATAAGCTTTCTGACTTTTGGGAGCTGCAGTTCTCCACGTCAAGAACTGATCATTAC